TTCCTGATCTGTAATCGAAGTCATGGGAGATGAGAAAGATATGATGGTCGGCGTGTCCGGAGATAAGAAAGTTAGCTCTCCTTATTCGATTTTTTCGTCGGATAATCCAGGAGCTTTGATCACCTCAGTTCAGCTAAAAGGAGAAAATTATAACGAATGGGCTACGGAGATGTTCAATGCGCTTCAAGCCAAAAGAAAGAGTGGTTTCATAGATGGGACGTTAAAGAAACCACCAGAAGGTCATGCTGATCTAGAATCGTGGCTGAGTGTGAATTCAATGATTGTGGGTTGGTTGAGAACGTCGATTGAACCAAGAGTTAGGTCGACTGTGACGTTCATAACCGATGCACAAAAGTTGTGGGAGAATCTCAAAGAAAGGTTTTCTGTAGGAAACAAAGTTCGAATACATCAGTTGATGTCAAAACTGGCCTCGTGTAGGCAGGATGGACAAGCGGTAATTGACTATTATGGTCGACTTGCAAAGATGTGGGAAGAATTGCAGACATATCGACCACCTCCGGCTTGTACTTGTGATGCAGCAGCTATTTATGAAAAAGAGAGAGAAGATGGGAGAGTTCATCAGTTTGTGATGGGGTTAGACGAGTCTCGTTTTGGACATGTTGTTACTGCAATTATAGAAGCTGATGTTCTGCCTGATCTTGGAAAGGTGTACAACAAGATAGTTCGAGAAGAAGATCGGTTAAACTCAGCTAAGTCACGAGAACAACAGAATGAAGCTGTTGGATTCGTTTCTCGTCGTGACAACAACAATGGTGATTCAAGTTCAAGTGGAGGACGTGTGGGGTTACGTGATGATCAAGTCTCTCCAAGTTCACAAAACAGAGGAAAGGATCGGAGTTGTTCAAACTATGGAAGAAGCGGGCATGATAAAGCTGCATGTTGGCAGTTGATTGGCTATCCCGAGTGGTTCACTGAAAGAGGAGGAAGAGGATCTCGTGGTACCACCAGAGGAGGAAGTCGCGGTGGTTCTATGTCTCGAGGAAGGGGACAGTCCAATGTTGCAATGCTACTACTGTAAACTCCTCAGCAATTCCACCGGAGCTTACAGCAGAACAATGGAGAGCAATTACTCAAATTCTCCAAGAAAAATCCAATGGAGCCTCCGATAAAATGTCTGGTAAGGATATGGGAGATGTGATCCTTGATACTGGGGCATCACATCATATGACTGGAGATATAAGTCTTCTTACTGATCTTGAAGATATATCACCATGTCGGATAGGTTTTGCAGATGGTAGTACCTCAGCAGCCAATAAGAAGGGAGTATTGCCTTTATCGGATCGAATATCGTTGTACAATGTCTTATATGTGCCGAACATGAACTGTTCCTTGATTTCGGTTTCAAAGCTGCTCAAACATTCAAACTGTTTTGCGTTCTTCACTGATACATTATGTGTGTTGCAGGACCGATGTACGAGGACGCTGATTGGAGCAGGTGAAGAACGTGATGGGGTGTACTATTTTATGGATGTTAAAGGAGCTTGTGTTAACAAGGCAGTGAAGGTTGATGAATCTGTTTTGTGGCATCAGCGAATGGGACATCCAGGGCTTTCTATTTTATCTTCAATGTCTTTGTTTTCTGGTGTTAAAGTTTCTGAAAGTTTGGATTCATGCGAAGTCTGTTTCAAGGCTAAGCAAGCTAGAGATTTGTTTCCTGAAAGTTCTAATAAAACTAAAGAATGTTTTGAGTTGATTCATATTGATCTCTGGGGACCATATCGTGTTCAATCTTCAAATGGAGCTTCATATTTTTTGACTATAGTGGATGATTTCTCACGAACTGTTTGGACATTTTTGCTTCTAGAGAAATCTGAGGTAAAGGAAGTAGTTTAGAATTTCTGCGCATACACTGAGACACAGTTCGGAAAACGCATCAAGTGTGTTCGCAGTGACAATGGCACTGAGTTTCTGTGCTTATCAACGTTTTTTCGATCAAAGGGGATCATTCACCAAACCTCTTGTGTCGGAACTCCTCAGCAAAACGGTAGAGTGGAGCGCAAGCATCGTCATTTGTTAAACGTAGCACTATCCTTAATGTTTCAAGCAAAGATGCCAATCAAATTTTGGGGTGAGGCGGTCCTCACAGCTGCTCACGTGATTAATCTTACACCTACTAGAGTACTTAATGGGAAATGTCCTCATGAGATGTTGTTTGGTTCAGCTCCATCGTATTCACGACTGAGAGTTTTTGGGTCGTTGTGTTTTGCTCACAAACAGTTGCGTGACAAGAATAAATTTGTTCCTCGCAGTAGGAAGTGTGTATTTGTTGGTTATCCCTTTGGGAAGAAAGGATGGAAACTATATGATTTGGAAACCAAAGAGTTTTTTGTTTCAAGAGATGTGGTCTTTCGAGAAGGAGAGTTTCCTTTCTCTGCAATAATTACAGAGGAATCCTCTGTTCCTGCTAGTATGGAGATGTTTGATGGCGAGTTAATAAACGATGAAGTTAGAGAAGTACAAGTTGTCGACTCCAGGGGGAGTAATGATGTGCAATCAGAGAATGTGACAATAGGGTCTCAGGACTCAGCTATTATAGAAGTTGGGCCAGAAATTGTCAATAAAGAAGTGAGAAGCAGAAACTACTACAAGTGTTGTGCCTGCAGAGGAAAGTTCTTTGGGAAGAGGCCAGCGTGTTAAGACGCCTTCGGTGAGATTAAATGATTACGTTACCTACACGGCAGTTTGTGACAACAATAATAGTACCCCTCACGTTCTCACCTCCGGTCAATCCTGTAGCGTCTTCGTTAATCCGGTCTCAGGTAACAATCTGTTCCCACTTACTGAATACATTACCGATGAACATTTTACGGGGAAACACAAAGCTTTTATTGCAGCTGTGTGTGCTGAGAGTGAGCCAAAGAACTTCAAAGAAGCTATGTGTGACAAAAGATGGAGTAAGGCAGTTCACAAAGAAGTAGATGCTCTTGAGCTGGCAAATACATGGAGTGTTGTTGATTACCACTTGGACGAGTAGCCTTGGGTACAATGTGGGTGTTTAAGATTAAATATAACGCCGATGGGACAGTGGAACGTTTCAAGGTAAGGTTAGTAGTGCTTGGAAATCGTCAAAAAGCAGGATGGGACTACGATGAAACGTTTGCCCCGGTTGCAAAAATGACAACAGTACGGAGTCTCTTGAAGATAGTAGCTACTCAGAAGTGGGAAGTGCATCAAATGGACGTGCACAACGCCTTTCTTCATGGTGATTTAAATGAAGAAGTGTACATCAAGCTTCCGCAAGGTGTTAAGAATGCAGATCCAAGTAAGGTGTGTCGTTTGCATAAATCTCTTTATGGGTTAAAGCAGACCCCTAGATGTTGGTTTGAGAAATTCACTAAAGCACTTGTTCAAGCTGGTTTTGTTCAGTCTTTATCAGATTACTCACTGTTCGTATACACTCATGGGAGTGTTGAGATTCGTGTATTGGTATATGTAGATGATCTTATCATCTGTGGGAATGATGGAGAAGCGATTATAAAGTTTAAGAAACATCTTGGTGAATGTTTTCACATGAAAGACTTAGGAAGGCTGAAGTATTTTCTTGGGATCGAAATTGCACGCAATGCAGAAGGTTTTGTTTGGGTCAGAGAAAATACGCATTGGATATCGTGAAGGATTTTGGTATGCTCGATTCAAAGTCAGCTGCAACACCAATGGAACAAAATCATCACTTAGCTACGGATGATAGTCCTTTCTCAACTGATCCAGCTCGCTATAGGAGACTTGTGGGAAGACTCATTTATCTTACAAATACAAGACCTGATATGTCTTATTCAGTTCATATACTGTCTCAATTTATGCAAAAACCGCGAGAAGGACATATGACGCAGCGTTACGGGTTGTACGCTTTCTTAAAGGAACTGCAAGGCAGGGAATACTGCTCAAATCGGAGACTGACTTGCAGTTGTCTATATACTGCGATGCTGACTGGGCGGCCTGCCCATTGACAAGGAGATCGTTGACGGCGTATGTTGCTATGATAGGAGGTTCACCAATGTCTTGGAAAACAAAGAAACAGAAGGTGGTGTCACATTCTTCAGCAGAGGCAGAGTATCGTGCCATGTCTATTGCCACTCGTGAAGTACAATGGTTACAGCAACTCTTACGTGATTTGGGTTTTGCTCCAAAGACTCCAGCTCGCCTTTTCTGTGACAGCAAATCTGCGATATATATAGCTACGAATCCAGTGTTTCATGAACGTACAAAACATGTTGAGATCGATTGTCACAGGGTTCGTGATGCATTGAAGTTAGGAGTGATTACAGCAGCTTATATTGGGACAAAGGAGCAGTTGGCGGATGTGTTGACTAAGGCCTTAGGGAAAGTTCAGTTCACTCATCTAATGTCCAAGTTGGGCATTTGGGATACTCCAACTTGAGGGAGAGTGTTGTGATAATGATGTATATTATTTAGATAATTATGTAAACATTAGAGATAATTACTTTAATGTAGTCGGTTAAGTAGATAAGGCCTATGTAAGATGTATATATATTGAGCTCTTGCTCACAATGAAATACACACAAATATTCAGAGATCTTTTGCTTTACAGAAACTGTATTAACACTGTTCCGCGGGCCCTACGCTATGTGGCAGCCCGCGATTGGTTCGGCTATTAATTTTTCTTTTTTTAAAGTCAATCGAAAAAAGTTAAAATAATAAAAAATGCACACTGGGAATCGCGACTGGTGGAGTTTGCTGATGGGGGTGGTCTTATATTACTGTTTCAACAGTGGGAGGCACGGCTTGGGGACATGGTCAGTTGACCCATGTGAAATCAATGCAAATTTTCTTTTTTGTACCTTGTAGTTGATAGAAAAACTGAGAAAATATTACAAAAATTAGACAATTGACCCATATAATATAAGTTTGTTATGAAATTGACCATCCTAAAATTCTTGCACCACTACTTCTACAGAAATTTTCTTCCCCAATTACTAAAAATCTATGAAATATTTGTAACAGTTATAAAAACAAGCTAGCTAGTGATCTGACGTGGCAGCACCAGATTTATCTGTAGCAACACTACCTTCCTCAGCATTCTGCAACATCATCTTCTCCTTCAGTGTCTCCTTGGCAGTATCGTAAGTTGCGTGCAAACCAAACAATAAGTAGTAAACAAGAAGAACACCAGTCCATATCGCAAACCTAATATACGACTTTCCATCGATCGAACCAAGAAGAAATATATTAATAGCGATGGAAGCAGAAGGCAACCACGGAACCAAAGGAACACCCCAAAGTTTCGGAGCCCTAGCTTGTGCCACAAGAAACTTCATCCCAGCGGTGGACAAGAACCAAACAGGAACCGTAACGCAATAACCAATCCAACTGTCCTTTTCCAAGGCCCAATATACAGCAGTCGCGACCGAGGATGCAAGAATCAAACCTAAGAACACTAAAAACGTGTTCCGGTCACGTGAAGATGTTTCTCCGGTGACGTAATACCTCCTAATGAGAAGAGCCACCGCGACTAACATGAAGATGAAAAGTGTGGACACGGATAAGAGATCGGCTAAGATTCCTAGTTTAGTGAATAATGCGATGAGAGCTGTCGCGGTCAGCATAACCACTGTCGCGTTGATCGGTGTTCCGGTCTTTGCGTTAACATGAGCTAGCCATGGTGGCATCATGTGAGCTCTGGCGATGTGCGTCATGTACCTAGCTTCCCCAATGGCTCCGACTAATAATACGGTCGTCATTCCTGCAGAATTCAAAGATTTTGAATTTAAGGGTGTTTAGTTGGATAAACCATGTCGGTTTTTCTGAGTAAAAATCGATCATTCATATATATTTTTCAAGCCTAAAACTATGAATTTTTGAAATGAAATTGTGAACCAGGACTGAGATTTTGACACGACCAGAACCAGCTGAATCGAACTTAAATTTTAGTTTTCAGTTCACATTCGGTTCGGCTCAGTTCAATTCGAAGAACTTAAATATTTTCTTTTTAAAGCAGTTTGGTTCTGTCAAGAGAACTTCAAAACAATCAATTTTGGTTTGGTTTAATAATGGTTATTTAAGACATACTGAACATAATGAATAGAATGAACAAAAAAATTCAACTAAATTAACGAACTATTTGTTCATCTTTTTCTTTACCATTCATGTTTACTATTTGTTGAATTCTTTCTTTTCATTTTTCCTCTTTATTCAATTTTTTTTTTTCAATTCACTTCAGTAAATGAAATTTTGTTCAACTTTTTTTTCATTCATTTCATTTTTTACAGTCACCAATTGAAGCCCAAAATTATCCAAAATTTTAATAAAATTAAAATGAAATCTAATCAAAATTAAATAATTTGTTGGTTAAATTTCACAATTTTTTTCATACGGAACTAAACTGAATTACTGAAACACCAAATCTGCATGCCTACTAAACACTAGAACACAAGCACACATAAAATGAAAATAACCGGCCAAAACAGTTGTCATACCTTTAAGAGCACCAAAGGCGACTAGGTACTTAGCCCAATCCCATCCAACAGCAGAGAACGCGACAGAAAAAGGTGCATCCGGATCAATCTGCCCATACGGTTGCATAAGACACAACGCAGCCGCCATGAGACAATAACAAACCGTAGTAAGCACCATCGACCCAACAAGACCAATGGGAATGTCTCTGCCAGGATTCTTGGTCTCCTCAGCCATGGTTGAAACCGCATCGAATCCAATATAAGCAAAGAAAAGAACCGACGAAGACTTAAACACTCCTCTAGCTCCGAATGGAGCGAAGTCGGAGTAGTTTTTGAAATCAGCTCTAGTGAATCCTGCTATGACGATAAAGAGAATCACTAGCATATGGATAATAGAAGCGATGTAGTTGAAGACTGATGAGCCTTTTGTGCCAATGGCGGCTAAAACGCAAATGATCACGCAAACGCCGACCGCGATTGGATCTAAGTGGTTATAGTCTTCGTGGAGACTGTGAGCTATTATGCGGAAGTCGTCAGGTTTATGGTTTAAGAGAGTGGCGAAGTAAGAGGTCCATGACCTAGCTACGGCGGCTCCACCGACTATGTATTGGAGGATTATATTTCCAGCAGCGATGAAAGCCATGAAGTCGCCCAGCTCCACTCTCAAGTAAGCGAAAGAACCACCTACACAGAAACTCGTTAAGCTGTGAAAAATATGATCTTAAATCGTTACGTTGGCTTTTCTTTTGCAAATGATTTAACAAAAAAAAAAATATATTTGTTTGCATGTAAGTTAAGTCTTTTAGGTGAACAATTTGTATGCATGCAAAATATTTGTTGCATGTAAAATAAGTCTTCTAGTACTGTAGATCTCAAAAATATCATTTACAAATATCTATATGAAGAATTCGTTATTTCAACTAAAAAAAATCCTTTTTATATGGCCAACCTTCAAACAATGAACATGCCAAAGCGAAACAACAAATAGCTATCAATGCTAATAAAGTTAAGGTTTGACCCATTTTCTTGGAAGTCCCAGTAGCTAGTGTTTGTCTAAAAGGTTACACCTAAAAGATCACGCTAAGACAAATAGCTAGATTTGTTATGCATTTAAAGTATTAATTAGAAGCGTAGTGTATACATATGGAACTCTATCACCATGTCATAAACATAAACATTATTTGATCAGCCATTGTTTTAAGGTGAAGTAATAGATTTAAATAGCGATTGATCCTAAATCGTTATTTCATATCGCTGAGATTTATAACTACTTACATTGAAATTTTATGTGATTTAATTACAACTAGCTGAATGAGTATGCGCCAGACAAACAAAACATTTGATCGTAGATCGAAGCAAGCGGCATCTGAACAAACGAGAATCTCTTCTTCGTTCGAAACACTAGCTAATAAAGACTTTCCATAATGGGGGACAAATTTAATTTACACCAAAGAAGAAAACAACTTCCCTAATGTATTATTATTGGAAAGTTTTCATAATTCAAAAAATATAGAAAAGTAAATAATGATATATATATATATATATATATACAAGATTTAATTAAAAAAAAAATCATTTAAACGTACCATGCTCTTAACCCAGTAATACTAATAAGGAATAATAGGGTATATGAGTTTGTTACCTGCAACAGGAATCTCTACGGCAAACTCGGTGTAACAAAAGACGGAGAGCATAGCGGAGACACCTGAGACGACAAAGGACACAACAACAGCGGGACCAGCACTTTCCCGTGCTTCTTGTCCGGTAAGAACAAATATTCCAGAGCCGATGACAGCTCCAACCCCGAACCACATCAGATCCCACCACGTTAACGTTTTCTTCATTTCGTGACCACTACGTGCCTTCATTTCGTGAAGCTCCACCGAGTCTTGTGACCGTGTCATTACACGGTCTATGAACCGACTCGGTGTCTCTTTAAGTGCTTTAAAGTAATTCCCCATGCTTTTGAATGATTCCTCTGGGAGAAAATCGTCTTTCGTGCATGAACAACCTCTCCGACGAAGCCCATCGTCACCTTCTTCCGATCCCATTTCTTATTTCCGTGGAAAGAAAAAGTAAATATTTTATGTAAAATTCAGACTCTGAAACTGTTTTTTTCTTTTTGAATCCAGAGTGAATGTGGAAAGAAAAAATACAGAAAGAGAGCTGAAAGTGAAATGGATACACAGTTTTGAGAAAGTTTTGGATCTTAAAGTCCGCCATACTTATAGTCATTGTGTTGTCATTTGACCAATTTTGTGTAGTTTATTATTACAAGTTTTACGTAAATAACTAGAAATACGTGACCGAAATTAAATATGGAAACCGTACGAAATTATCCATGATTTTTTGTCCTACGACCATCAGTTGTTGGTCTGTATAGCTGCATTCTTGGGCCTTTTTTTAAAAAAAAAAAAAAGCAAAAAAGAATCATATGATATGTAATAAGGAATCATGTGTAACAAGAACTCCTTCAGACTACAACATACTTCACGTGGAGATTTTATTTCATATTTTCTTATCTACTTCCTCCGTTTTAAACGAAGTGCAAGAACTGTGATCACTTGCTTAGGTTTCCTCTGTACAGAATAAACCATTAACAATAAACCGAAAAAGATCATGCGTGATGCGTGATACAATAGAACCTCTATAAATTAATACTCGATAAATTAATATACACTAAATATCTCTATAAATTAATATAACTAGGTGATTTTCCCGTACTCATGTACGGATATGAATATTTATAAAAGTGAAATTTATAATAACTATTGATATTTAGTTTTAATTTTGAATCAATTTATATGTATAACTTATATTAATAAATATTATATTATTCTAATTATACATATGATTTTGGATATATTATAGTAGGTTTGATTATTTTTTGGATCAGTAGTCGATTTGGTTATCAATTCGGTATATTGAATAATATATATTTTTAAAATTCAACTATAATATTTTTTTATTTTAAATATAATAAAAGTTTGATTAACTTTCTTATTTTCATTTAGGTTGGTTATTTCTTAGATATGTAAATATACTATAGTTAGATTATGTACAACTTAATATATAGTATTCTTAAAATGATATAAATAATAAGCTGAAGTGTTAGATTCAAATTACATAAATGAATATAACGATAATATTTTAAAGTGTCATATATATATATATATATATATATATATATATATATATAAATTCTACAAAAGAACTAAACTGCAATTGGTTAATATTTTATTTTTCTTTTTAAAATGTTTTGAGTCATCATGTAATTTATATGTATAAAAATAAATAGATTATTATTATAAAAAGTTATATTCTTATAGTAGTTAGATCTTTAATTTTGGATATAAGTTAGATTGGTTGAGTCATTCATGTTGTGAGTATATTGAGTTAAATATATTAAATTAAAATTGAAGTATAATTAATTTTTATTTTAGTTAAATCAAATCAAATTAGTTTTATTTATCGCTTAAGCATACATGTATTTTCATAATATTTATCAAATTATAAGTTGATTTCTAAAAAAAAATATTAGAAAATAAAATGTAACTGATAAATTTTTGGATGTTCTTGAACATACATATTTTTATTACTTTGAAAATATACTTTATCTTATTTAAAATATGTAACAAAGGGAATATTACTATTTTTTGAACTTTCCTTTTTTAATAAAATCATATTATTCACATAAATTTTCGTTTTAATTTTGTTTTAAAACTTTATAAATGTTTTCTTTTTATTATATATGTTATTTGGAAAAAAGTAAAAAAAAGAACCTAAATAAAAAAATAATTATAATAACAATTCAACTTTCCTTTTTAATAAAATTATATTATATACATATATTTCGGTTTAAAACTTCATAAATGTTTCCTTTTCAATATATATGTTATCTGGAAAAAAATAGAAAATAAACTAAATAACAAATCAATAATAATCTTTAAATGTAATAATCCATTAAGGGTATCTATGTAATCAACCATCGCGAGAGCTAACGTGAACGCGACACGTAGGAAACTGACTTCTCAAATAATATTATAGAGATTTTATAGTCCCAAATTGAGTTTTTGGTTCAATTAGTATATCTATAAATTAATATCTCTCTAAATTAATTAAAAAATAAAATTTTGGTGTAATCCCAACATTATTAATTTATAGAGGTTTCACTGTATGTGAATAAAGAGACTAACATGTGTTAATTTTTACTATCTAATATGTTATATCGAAATGAATTTTGATTTGGAATTCAGACCTCAACTAGTGCTTTGGTTCAAAATCTGAACATAGCGCCCTTACATAATTCATTTCGAGAAAGATCTGTTCGGCAGATTCCCACGCCTTACGCACCTGTTTGATTTGACATATATACAATTTAATATGGGATTCATTTGAATTCTACCTGAACCTTTTACGCCCTAAAGAACCTTGCTGCTTACTTGCTATATTCCCGCGTTCTTGCATGGCTCGCGCGCAACCCCGCCCTGCTTCTCCCTTCCCCTCCCCTTACCGTCCAAAACTCAAGAGGGAGATGCAATATATGGGGTTCCATGGATCCATTAGTTGGTTCCGCGGTTCCTCGCTAGGGGAGAGAGCAGCCTTTCAGAAATTCGTTTTTTAAATTTTCTTTTTTTTCTTCATTGACCAAACTCCAACAAGTATAAACTTGATCCGAGGCTGTTTTTTTGTTGTAAATGAAGGGATCTTTTTTTTATCATTTCAAAAAAAGTTGAAAGGTTGGGAGGATATGTAAAAGACATCCCTACACACTTAACCATAGGAACAGAAGCTACGCCAGCAACCTATTCTCATAATGCCTATTAAGAACATCAAGAAGGTATCACCACCAAAGACAACAATCCCGACATTCTCATTCTCAAGATTCAAGGCCATTCCTTTCACACTGTTGGCAAAAAGAACCATTTCCCCAGCTTGAATCTCGTTCAATCCATAAACTTGTGCAATCCCATCTCCAACTGAGACCACTCGACCGATCTCATCCACTTGAAATGAAACTGAAACTCTATCCGAGAGATGAAACCGGAAAAGAATGCATGACCATCTTTTTGTAATTAAGGTCAAACAAGTAAATACCAAATGCAATGATTTGAGGAGCAATGCTCAATATCAAAGCTAAGGGATACACGTGACAGAACTATAATCTTAAGTCTTCTATATGCAAAATTAGGAAAGAATAACAAAATTGAGAAAAGGCAGAAGATATGTTAAAAGTCGCCTGGGAGGTGTCTAGATGATGTAGGAGACGTTATGAGCAAACAATACAACGATTGCAAGAGGTAGATACCACGAGTCTGAAATATAGAAAGAAAGAATGTTCATTAATTAGAATTGCTATTGCAAAAAGACATTCTACATCTCTATTCAGGAGATAGTGTCTATAACTTTTGAGAAAAAAAAACATTTAACTGTACCACTGCAGGGAGCTTAGCTTCTATATTCTTATCGTGAATGGTTTGGTAACAAATAATTAGATACTATAACACAAATCAAAACCGAAAATCATTCTCTCAATTCATCTATATACCAAACCGGGAAAGTGTGATTTGAACAACGTAGAGTTAACAAGTAGAGGTTTTGAAAGGGAGATTCTTGAGGGGTTTTTAGGGTACATGATTCAGATTTGACAAGATATAGAATACAGCAACAGTGAGGAATTGTGACGAAAACATGTGTGGGATTAATCGCCACTGGCACATCCTTGACAACCGCAGTGAACGCATTCAACCACTTTCTCTTCACGCAAGTGTTTGGGAACACGGCATACACATGTTGTTCCATAGTTGTGGTCTCTTGGTTGTATGCATCGCAAGCAGCATAAACGCTCATATCCTGACTGCATTTCACAAAACAAAAGAGTTTTAGTAACAAACTAAAGAGATATATATCTGAAAACAAACGTAAGAACTGGATCAATGTACGCATGATACATACAACCTACAAACAGAACTGAGAGCAAGGACTCTCGAGAAATCATCGTCAAAAACTAGTGCAATGATAGAGCTATTCAGAAGGAATGTGTGTCTATAACTAATAGCAAAGTGGTAGTGTTGTACCTTACCAAACAAAACAACAATCTCAATTCTAGAAACCTATGTTTTTTTTATTGTAAGATCATTCCAAACAAGTGCATCTACAAAGACATCGACTTCAGAGAAGCAGCTTCGAGAAACCAATGTGCACTAAGGCGATACTAAGGCCCCCTCTCTAAGCTACTTAAACAACATTTTAAGTATTTTATATTCACTGTCCTGTGCAGAAAAACTACTGTGGGAAACTCCAAACCTCTTCAATTTTTAGCCACAAACAAGTAATCAACTAAAAGAGGAGCAGACATAACATAAGTTTAAATCAAGAAAGAAGTGCATTTACTAAGACAACGACTTCAGAAAAACTGCTTCATTATGGACTACGGCGATACTTAGGCTCTCTATAAACTAATCAGACAACATTCAACATACTTCCAGATTCAATGTACTATTGCAGAAAAACTTCTATAGGAAACTATAAATCGAAGAATAAAGGAAAGAAAGAAGAGGGCACCTTTTTCCACTTGGCAATGAGGCTGCGATCAGCATATCCTTGGTCCAAGCAGAACTCATAGAGGTCTTTAGAGATCTCGTCCCTGCGGTAATAAAGGTCATAGACATAGCGACTCCTCTGATGAGAGAGTTTGAAGATTGGCCATAAAGCTTCACACTTTCTCTTGCCATCATGTTCATCCATCTCAGCTGCAAAATCAAAAAGGTAAAAGAGTTTATAGCATGAGAATAAACAGAAAAAAAAAGAGAGGAGCAACTGAAACAACAAACCTTCTCTCATCTTGGCGTCAAGCTCACGAAGAGTAGGCTCTATCAACTCCCAACCTTCAGGGTACTTTACTCTGTTAGTCTTAATCTTCGGCATTGTCCCTTGCAAATCTCACAACCTTAGACAGAGGAAACACTCGAGATTTTAGGGTTCAATCGTCAAAGCTAGCAATTAGGGTTTATCAATCTCTGTGATTTAGAAATCCTATAGAAGGTTATTGAGAGGTTAATAAGATTGAAGAAAATAGGTTTATTGATTGTATAAAAGATGTTGCCGTGAGGCTTAACATAAAACTATTTAGGAAAAGGAAAGATAAAGCGCCCATCAAAGAAAAAAAAAAGGAAAACTAAATTAAGATAACGATGAATGATCCTGTCACAGAAATCGAAGAAGCTTTACCTTTGGAGAAGCTTAGCCACAGAGACTAGGGAGGTCGGAGGTGGGAGAGATGGCGGCGAAAGAAGAAAGGAGCAACGTCCTTAGAAGCCTCTGTTAGGTTTGGGTTTGGTTCGGTTCAGTATTTGAATGTGTTTTTATCATCTGGGCTCGGTCATGTAATTAAATACACATTTTTACTATATTATCTATTTAGATTCAATTTGAAAAAGACAGGTTGAACTTCACTGAACCTAAAGTTGTCTCAATAGGAAAAGTTCGAATTGAGAGGCACCATCGCCGGAAAGTATCACAACGATTCGCCTCAATAGGTCTGTGTTCTCTTTCAGACTTCTTCTTTTGTTTTTTCTAGTGCAAGTACGAACACAATTGAAATCATGTGAATAGAAGACAGATGCTTACTACGTCAGGATGGGGAAGAAAAGAATTCAACTTGTCATTAACAAATAACATTGCAACTTTTTCACATCAAACATGTTTCAGCTTTCGACATTGTCTTGCGTCTAAGCAAATTATTATTTTGCAAAACACAGAGAAGAAGAGAACCCTCCAAAAGCATTAAAAAGGAAAAAAATAAAAAAAGGAAGAAGCTGATTGCTTATTCCTTCTTCCCGATCCCGTTGGACATGTTGTAGATTCCTGTTCCCTGCATCCAGCCACACGAATCAGAAGATGAACTTGGTTAAGAAAGCTGAGACAATATCTATAACATTTAAAACCCCCCATTTAACTAGGACAATCGAGTGCAAGTAGCAAGGTCTAAAGTGCGATATATATCATCATATATATATTCAACTTCAAGCGATCAAAAACACTCAAGAAACAACAGATTTAAAGAAAACATGGGCAATCATGAATAGTTATTTCTGAAAACCAACAACGAAAGAAAACAGATAAACTTACAATCATGTAGAGAGAAGATGCAGCCAAGGCAAGAGGAATGGCAACGGAGGTGACCTTGTCCATTGGTCCTTTAAGGTAAGTGTGCCTCTGGATGCTCTGGAACAGCCTCTGCTTCTCCAGAAGCTTCTCTCTTGGCCTAAATGGAGCTTCCGTCAACATGATACTGCAATTCCACGCCAGCAAAAACCCATTATCGGCATTATTGAGATAATAAAGCTTTTATCTACAAGATCATAAACCATTTCATAAAAAGCACTACTCAAATCAATAACACTAAAGCTTTAAGCTTTTCATCAAAAAATACTAAACTGATAACGAACGAGCACATATCCAGATCGTGCCTGCGACATTAATCAATCCACAATGTTTCTAATCAATAGGCTATGATAAAGACTCAATCTAGGTTAATATTTTCAATATTGAGATCGATCGATACAAATTTTGGAAAATGAAGAACCTATACGAGATTTAGAAACGATTTCACCGCAGGGATTCGATATTACTAATAGAAGATTCGAATAAGCTTACCTCAGAGAAAGTAATCGACTAGATAAGGGAATCTGAGAGAGAGAGAGATCGAAGCGCAGATGGAGGAGGAGGACGACGAGGAAGAATAAATCGTCTTCTTAGGGTTGGGTTTAGTAACTGTAATCATTTGGGCTTTTCATAACCTAAAAGCCCAAATCAATACGAAATAGAAAAAAAGATTCAATTCTGGTTATAAACTAAATTAAACCGAACCAGACCGTCCTTTTAATTTCAATCCTCTGCTCCGAACCGGGTATTCTTCTTAAGGCGCCGCCTCCTCCTCTCTTGCATCATCTCTCTCTCTCTAGCTTTCTTTCTGGACGATCCTCTATAATAACAAACAGAGGCGGGAAGGTTTATTTCCGCGCGAGTAGTCTCGTAGAAAGCCAAAAACCCCCGAGAAGACGAAGATGAGCGTATGGAACTACGTCGTGACGGCTCAGAAACCAACCTCTGTCACTCACTCTTGCGTCGGAAACTTCACCAGTCCCCACGAACTCAATCTCATTGTCGCGTATGTAATCTCCTCTCTTTACCATGCCATCCTTTCTGTTCCATAGATTGGGCGTTTAGGGTTTGTAAGGAAGCTAGGTTTCGTCTGTAGTTTGATCCTGCTTTGACTGCTGATTATTAGGGTTTTAATTTGGTGGATTGTTGTTTATGAGAGAGATTTACTCAAATCGATTCACCTGTTGATGACTTGATTTCATGTTAAAGAAGGCTCCTTGATGATTGTTTTTTTTTTTTCTTTCAAGTTTTGTTAATTGTTTTAAAAGCTATCTTCTTTTGGGGTCTATTAGTTAACAACAGTGTTCAAACTTTTCTCAGGAAATGCACTCGGATCGAGATTCATCTCCTTACTCCACAGGGACTTCAGGTACTAAATACATTTTTTTTCCAATGGTTTTTTTTACTAGGATTAAGGGTGGAGATTTGAAATGTTATTGTTACTTTAGTCTTATTCCAGATAAATAAAATTCTCCATATGGATCGGATGTGTTGAGTGTTTTTTATTTTATTTTGCAGGCTATATTGGATGTTCCTCTATATGGGAGAATCGCTACTTTGGAATTGTTCCGTCCCCATGTGAGTTTGGTTTTCTTCATGCCTACTTCTTTCAGTCCTGGGGTCAATAAGAACGAGTAAGTGACTGTGTTATATGATGAGTACTTCATCTTTTGCAGGGTGAAGCACAAGATCTTTTGTTCATTGCAACTGAGGGATACAAATTCTGTGTTCTTCAATGGGATTCTGAGTCCTCCGAGCTTCTTACTAGGTAACAAAGGAGCGAGGGGATCTAATTATAGTTCTTTTTGTTTATGTGCTTTCTTTATTCTTATTTCTTCAAATTTGGTGTTGGAAAGGTATCGGATTTTAGTAACTGCATGGTTCATGTTGTATTTTTTTTAAAACAAATTACAAGTTCATGAGGTTCCTATTTATTCTGAATAAGCTATAGCATCTCAGCTACTGTTGGTCATTAACTTACTCATACTTTGATGGTTATACAAAACTTCCCTGGTGCCAACATAGATGCTGCTTGACTATATTCTTGCACTGCTGATTTTAAATATTGTTTTCAACCTTATGTAGGGCAATGGGGGATGTCTCTGATCGTATAGGCAGACAGACTGACAATGGTCAGGTATTGAGTCCACTAGTACTGCACTGTATCCATCATAATTGTTTGCTTTTTCTTCTTTAGTAGTGTCAATGCTGTAAAATTTGACTTATGTGGCACTCCTGAGTTCTCACTTTAGTCTGATTTGCAGATTGGCATAATTGATCCTGAATGCAGATTCATTGGTCTCCATTTGTATGACGGCTTGTTTAAGGTATGTTATTGACCTCTAGAAGAAATTTGACGAATGGTATTCTTGTTAGCTGTCTGTGTCATGTTACTGAACTTCCGTTGATCAATTGACTTGGACATTATATAGAGTTTGTTCTGTTTTTTCGGTTACTTGGTTAGGTGATTCCATTTGACAATAAAGGACAGCTCAAGGAAGCGTATAACATAAGGTAATCCTTTTCAATAAAGGATATCTCTTTTTTTCTTATGTTGGTTAGTGGTCTACGTCGTGTTCGTTCTCGTGAAACCTTGCTTCCATGCATCAGATTCTGTTTTATTAATACACTCGGTCGATACTCTTTATTACTTGCAGATGTGATTATTTCGAGAACCAGAACTGAATCTAATGTTGCCTAAATTTCAGGTTGGAGGAGTTGCAGGTCCTGGATATCAAGTTTCTGTATGGATGCGCAAAGCCAACAATCGCAGTACTTTATCAGGTTAAATTATATATATTTGTTCTTCCTGCAAGCAGTAATGTTCACATGAATCCTTTTTCTTTCTTAATATCGCTCTGTTGGAAAGCTGGTGGAAATTGAGCAAACTAGCGCTGTTGTTTTCTATATGTGTATTGTAGTTTTTTAGAAATGATTATCTTTTCTCTTAACTTGGTTTAATTATCCAATGCAGTATAATGTAGTCTAGGACTTATCTGGGTTAATTAATGAATTCTTGCGATTACAGGACAACAAAGATGCTCGTCATGTTAAGACATATGAAGTTTCTCAAAAAGAGAAAGACTTTGTCGAAGGACCATGGTCACAGAACAATCTTGACAATGGTGCGGACCTATTGATCCCTGTGCCTTCACCTCTGTGTGGGGTCCTTATCATTGGAGAAGAAACAATTGTGTATTGTAGTGCCAATGCACTTAAAGCTATACCAATAAGATCTGTAAGTTTTCCTGACATCATGCCATATGCTTCTATAAACATTTGCATAACCTTTCAGTGAGTACCCCTTAATTTTCAAAACTTCAATTTTATTGTCCAGTCCATCACAAAGGCATATGGAAGAGTTGATGTTGATGGCTCTAGGTATCTTCTTGGTGACCATGCCGGACTGATCCACCTCCTTGTTATAACCCACGAGAAAGAAAAGTGAGTTTATATTATAAATCTCTCTCGAAAGTGAGTTTATGTTTCCCAATTAAAAACAAAATTGTGAATATTCTGACTTTATTTTTCTCTAGGGTCACTGGCCTCAAAATTGAGCTTTTGGGTGAAACTTCTATTGCATCTACCATCTCCTACCTTGACAATGCTGTCGTTTTTATCGGCTCAAGCTATGGAGATTCACAGGTACGCTAGGAATGAATACAGTTCTCATTACAAAGTCTTTTATATTTATTTTTTTCTTGGAGAATGTAAAAGTATATAAATTTTTGGTTATCACTGTCCTAGTTTTTTTGTGTTAAGACTTTTATCTTCTATGATATCTAGTATAAATATTAAGTACGAAGCATCTGATAGTTTTCATGGTTTAACTGCAGCTTATAAAGTTAAACATGCAGCCCGATGCAAACGGTTCATATGTAGAAATTATAGAACAGTATGTCAACTTGGGACCTATTGTCGACTTTTGTGTTGTTGACCTTGAGAGACAGGGGCAAGGTCAGGTTGTAACTTGCTCTGGAGCATACAAGGATGGTTCTCTTCGCATAGTTCGTAATGGGATAGGAATAAATGAACAGGTTTGATGTTTGTCAGGAATGTCTTGTTGACTCGGTGTCTTGTATGAGTAGCTCTCTCATTTTATATATGACTCTGTTGTATTACAGGCGTCCGTGGAACTTCCAGGTATCAAAGGAATGTGGTCGCTGAAATCTTCAATTGATGAAGCCTTTGATACATTCCTTGTAGTTAGTTTTATCAGTGAAACTCGTATCTTAGCTATGAACATAGAGGATGAACTGGAAGACACAGAGATTGAGGGTTTCTTGTCTCAAGTCCAGACTTTATTTTGTCATGATGCTGTCTACAACCAACTTGTTCAGGTATGTTTTGCCAGTGCACATTCGCAAGTTTCTATGCCTCTGCCTGTAGTTTTATCTCACAAGGCAGGAAATTATTAATCGAAATCCATTTTGTAGGTTTTAAGTCTGTGTAAGTTATCGATATATGGTTTGTTTTATTTGCGTTTCGCTACATTTCAATGTGTTATCGACGTATTGTTAAATCAGTTGTCAATTTTAGGCCTTTTGGGTGTTTCAAAGCGAATCAAATTTAGATGTCCTTCTGACATAGTTTCTTGTCATTTCATCGCTGTTAATTTTGTCGACATGGTTTTTTTTGGCTGCTACAGTTTCTCTCCATCTTTTACTCGAGGATGCACTAACTACTGTCTTTTCTTCATCAGATTACTTCAAATTCTGTGAGGCTAGTCAGTTCTACAACTAGAGAATTGCGGAATAAATGGGATGCCCCAGCTGGATTCACTGTTAATGTGGCAACTGCGAATGCTAGCCAGGTGTGTCTTTATTCTTGTCGGATTTATTTGTAACTGCAATATTTAAAACTGGTGACCAAGAGAAGAAATCTAGGAGTATTTTTTTTACTATACATGGATTTTGTTTCTGTCCTAAACTTGTAGCTTTCAGTATCTTTCTCGTTTCTAGACATGCAGTGTGATTTGGATTGATATACTTTTTAGGTTCTGTTGGCGACTGGAGGTGGGCATTTGGTCTATATAGAAATTGGAGACGGGACATTGACGGAAGTCAAACACGCCCAGTTGGAGTATGAGGTGTCTTGTCTTGATATAAACCCCACTGGGGATAATCCTAATTACAGTCAGCTAGCTGCGGTGGGAATGTGGACAGATATAAGTGTAAGGATTTTTGTTCTGCCGGACTTGACTCTTATCACTAAGGAGCAACTAGGAGGAGAGATAATTCCCCGATCTGTTCTTCTTTGTGCATTCGAAGGGGTATGGTTTTCTTGACCATCTTTATTGTTAGTGTAGTCTTTGTTTGTCATACTAAATAACAAATGGTATTTCATTTTTTGGCAGATATCTTACTTGCTGTGTGCTCTTGGAGATGGCCATCTCCTAAACTTCCAGTTGGATACACGTACTGGGGAGTTAAGAGATAGGAAAAAAGTATCACTTGGGACTCAGCCTATAACTCTGCGTTCGTTTTCATCTAAAAGTGCAACGCATGTCTTTGCTGCATCAGATAGACCGTCTGTTATATATAGCAACAACAAGAAGCTA